ATATATATATATATATATATATATATATATATATATGTATACACACACACACACACACACACACACACACACACATACAAAATGTCCCTGGGGGAAAAGGGAAAGAACACATGGGAAAAAAAACCTCAACGTTTTACTTTTATATAATAGCATAAACTAGCCATTTCTATAACAACAAACCTATCTAATTGGTAAAACCCAAAATCAAAGTTTCATTTTTTCCACCTCAAGCACAAAGTCCATTCCATCTACAAATCTCAGCACACTGCGTCTTTTGGACATGCTATTTTAACTATGAAGAGGATATCGGAGTTATTAAGTTTCTCAGTTCATTTAACAACTTAGTTTCCTCTTAGGATATTAGCTATCTCTGATATCATCTATGGGGAAATAAGTTTCTAGAGACTTGTATATTTGAGATGGTATTGTGGTATTAAGTGATATTGTGACATGATTTTAAGAGAATTGCAATGCCACTTGTCTTGGTTATCATTGCTAGCTAAAATATTGTGAAAAAATAAGATATCTACCATGAATATTAGTCTACCAATTTCATGTAAATTATATGACCTGCATTTATGATATACCTTCAGTTCTCTGCTATGTCAAATATTTTAATATACTGTATGTCTAGAGCTGAATAGATTTTCAACATGCAAGTAGATAGGTAATCTTGGAGAAATAAAATGTAGTGAAGGATCACATTAAGCATGGCTATTTTGGTTTCAGGTAGCCGAGCTTATGTTCTTTTGTCCCTGAGCCAGCAAGATGGCATTGAACAGCACATGGATTTTGACAGTCGTTATACTCTCTTGGAGCTTTTTGCTGAGACTACATCCTCTGAAGAGCACTGTATGTCCTTTGAAGGGATTCATCTTCCTCAGGTACCAGCCTTTGGGTTGGCATTGATATGGGTATCAAGATTTCTTTTTTCCAGAGGTGTTAGCGAAATATAAGGCTATATATGAATATCTCATGAAAGAAGGATAGTCTAAAATCAAAGTTGGGGGAAATCACATTCATGAGATGATGACCAATTGTATCTATTCCTGTACCAGAAATCCTACCCGTAATCTCTCATGTCATTTTCATCTCTCTATGGGATTACTGCAAATGTTTTACATGGGGCTGTTCTTGAAGAACACTTTGAAGCTTCAGCGGCCTAGACGGTTTTGGGTCATAGGGTTTGCCTGGATTATGTCACCATTTTAGATGCAGCATTGGCTCTCGGGATACTTCTATGTGCAATTCAAGGTGGTGATCACCTTTAAAGTCCTGCATTTGTGGGACTACCTTTTTCTGAGAGTCTCTGCTCATCTGACAAGTCCCCTATTTTGAACAGTGCTACCTTGTGGGACTAAGGAATTGCACCTGCCCTATGGAACAGTATAAATCAGCTGAAATGGCCTGGATTTCCCCTGAATGCTAAGCTCTATGGATATGGTTGGTGTGGATGGTTTGTTATGTATCTTAATTATTGTATTTTGATTTTTAACTCAGATTTTTTTTAATTGATTGATTTATATAGGTTTGTTATATTGATTTGGTTGACTGTCAGTAGCCATGCAGCATTCATTGAGATGGACATATAATCCCCCCCCCCCAAGTAAATATATAAATATATTAAAATGGGATGGTTGTTATTCACTTACTAGAAACTCATATGCGATAAGTAATGGACACGGCACTGATAATTTGATCCTATCCAGATGTTTTATAGTACAGATAATTCTTGTTCATTAAGGTAATTGGGACTGCAAACTCTGTTGCTAAGCAATGCAGTTATAAAATGCAATATCATGTGATTATACCATTTTATGGCAGCAATTTCAATAGTCCCAGTTGCTGTTAGGTCCGTGATGGCGAACCTCTTGCATGCATGCCAAAGGTGGCACGCAGAGCCCTCTCTGCTGGCATGTGCGCCACTGCCCCAGGTCAGATCTCCATGGAGTTTTTTTTCGTGAGCTTCTGTTTCCCTACAAACGATGAAACGGAAGCTCACGAAAGAAAAAGATCTTACCTCTTGCTGCACTGCCGGTGTTGGGATGCCCCGACTTCCCACTGGCCAGCTGGTCTTCAGGTCTCTGCTGCCCATGCGGTCATGCACATGCCTGTTTGTGTTCATGCATTCACACATACTTTTCAGTTTGGACATGTGCGCATGTGCAGTTTGGGCACTCGATGTCTAAAAGATTCACTATCATTGTGTTAGGTGAATAACAGGCAGTCGCAGTGTCCTAGAGTAGTGTAATTACCATTTGTGATCACCTGTTGGCTTCCTCATTGATTTTGCTTATTGGAAGCTAACAATGAATGTTCCAAAAGGTGACCACTTGACTGTGGGATGTTGCAACAATGTAATTGTGAGCTTGTTGCTCACAATTTGAATGATTGCTGAACAAGTGGATATTAAACAAGGACTACCTGCATAATTTTGCAACTTTGACAATCTGTCAAATTGATGGAGATGATCCACAATATTTGGAGGTAATTCCATGACCTAAGCCTTTCTTGGAATCCAATTGTTTTGCTTACTGGGATAGAATTATAAAATGTATTTTTTTTAAGTTATTGGTATGATAAGCTGTATTTATTTCAGATTCCGGGGAAGCTGCTGTTTTCTCTAGTGAAGCGTTACCTATGTGTCACTTCCCTCATGGACAAGTTAAACAGTACCACAGAACTGGGAGGGGATCATCAGGACTCTTCAGCACCCAGTTCAAGCTTTGGGGAAAAAAGCCGGGTACAGCGAGAATTTGATTTCAGCATGGCCATGGCTAACTTGATTTCAGAGCTAGTCCGGGTCATGGGCTGGGATCGCAGCCACGAAAGGGAACTTCTGTCTCTGACGAATGCCCAGCCTCGAATTATTCGATCCATATTCCAGCCCAAGGGTTCCACTTGTACTGCTGTTCAGGTGCCTTTAGTAACTTCCAACCCTTCACCAAGAAAAAAGCAAGGACAACCATTTTTGACTCTGTCAGATTTTTCCAGTCGCAGCAGCTATGTTGAGTATGTGCAGGAGAATCTCAAGCCAGGAATGACTGTGCGGATGTTGGAAGAATACGAGGAGATTGATGCTGGGGATGAGGGTGAATTTCGTCAGAGCAACAGTGGAATGCCTCCTGTGCAGGTAGGTTGAGCGGTAGAAGTTTCTTTAAATGCCTCCTGTGTCTGGGTAGTTTGGTTTTGTAATACTGTTTGGTATAATTTTTTTAAGTTAAAAAACCCCACCTTTTTATTATTACAAGAGCAGCAGGAGCAGCCAGTTTCAATTCAACCAATGGTTATTGTTTATAAAGCCCTTCATGGCATAGGGACCAGGCTATTTGCAGCACTGCTTGTCTCTCATTTTCTGTTCTTATCTAATAAGATTGAGAAGGGTAGGACCGATCAGTTCCCATATTTAAATCCATGTCATCTGATAGGACCTAGGAGATGCCTTCTCTGTTTGCACTGCTTAACCCCTGGAATAGTATCTCCCTGGAGATACAAGCTGCTGCTTTTTTTTAACAGGACTTGACCTGGCTCCCCTCTCACCACCCCACCCCACAGGCTCTGATTTAGGAGTGCATCCCTAAGTGAAAGCATGTTAAAGTTGTCTGAAAGTTTGGTTATTGCTATTTGTTTTAATGTATTGGGTACAATTTTTAACTCTCATGTTTCCATGAGCTTAGGTGACTTTTATACAGATTGAGAAAGCTGGATCATCAAAAACTATTAAATGAAGAAAAATGGATAGCATTAGCCCTTAAACTTATATACCACTCCATAATGCAGAGGTTTTCAATCTTGGCCACTTTAAGACCTGGGGACTTCCCCAGCCAGCCATCGGGAATTCTGGGAGTTGAAGTCCCCAAGTCTTAAAATGGCCAAGTTTGAAAACCCTGCCAGAGTGCTTTACAGCACTGTCTGAGTTGTTTACAAATGTCAGCATATTGTCCCCAGCAGTCTGGGTTCTCATCTTACTGACATCAGAAGGATGCAAGGCTGAGTCAATTTAAGCTGGTGAGGATCGAACTCCTGGCTGTGGGCAGTTAGCCCACAATACACCATTCTAACCACCGCACCACCATAGTACTTTTGAAATATACCAAAGAAAATTTTGGAATACCTTAGACTGCAAGAAAAGTAAATCATTCAATATTAGATGAAGTAAAGTAAAATGTTTATTAAAACTACTACTAATGAGGCTAGAGCTACAGATAATGAGGCAATTAGAAAACGGGTTGATACTAGATGGGTATCACCACTGAGGTGACAAGAACTGAATTACTGAAAAAAGTCTTGACAAAATAATGTTCATTGGGGTTATGAGAATTTAGAAATAATTGAACAGCACTGGGCACTGAATGAATTGTACAGGAATGCATTTAAAAAGAAACTATATATTGATGTATTGTGACAACTATGAGCTTAACATGAGCAATGAGTCTTCTCAAGAAAGATAAATATAATGTACTTTATCCTTATTAAATAATTCCCTTATCCTTAAGAATGTGCTGCAGCAAGAAATAATCCAGACTTTAGGAGTAGTAAAGAGAAACTGCTGGTTATCCTATAATTCTGTGGGCAATTCATCTGATGAGTTGGTCAGAAAAGGGAGTGATTGCTATTTGTAGAATACCAATTTGCTAGGAAAAAACTGATTTTATGCTTTCTTAGCGCTGTTCTAAAACATACAATGCTATTATGTGACTGTACTATTATTCTATCGTATAGAGCAAAAACTCAATTGCTTAATTGCTGCTAGGAGACAATATGCCCTTAATATCAACCCCCCCACAAAAAAAGTGTTGTGGTAGAAATAAGATAATGTGCAGCCTAAATTACCTTTCCTAAAGTTGATGCCCTCTAGATATGTGAAAATTGTAGTACTGTTTTAATTATATTTATTTGTATGTATTATGTCTTTATGATTTTTACAAATACTGTAATTCAAGGCAGCAAACTTGTCAACACCTTTCTCCAATTGCTCCCCGCCCCCAAGCAACAACCCTATGAGGTGGTTTGGACTGGGGGAGAGTAACCGATCCAAAATCACCCACCTGGCTTTTATGAGTAGGGCAGGACTATCTCCTGTTCTCTTGCTTTCTAGCTGGGTGCCTTAATTACCAGACCAAACTATATTGCTTACTGATAGTAAAAAGTGATTCAGTTTACTTTGATCATTAACATAAATGAAATTATAAGTACTTCTGTTCCATGCAAGCTGGGCAGTATTTGTTTCTATTTTGTGGCATGGAGAATTTGAGGGAACAGATGGCTTTAACTATGTAGTTCATTGTTTCGCAGGTTTTGTGGCAATCTACTGGCCAGACTTATTGGGTGCACTGGCACATGATAGAAATTATTGGCTCTGGGGAGCAAAATGAAGAGAATGCAGCACATGAAAAAGTATCTAGTTTAACAGAGAACCTGAAACTACCCACAGGTGAGATTAGAGGAATTTACAAACTAAATTATGTGTAGTTTTAGTTTGAATTATTGCATGCTATGAATTTATTGTTGTTGTTTATTTCTTTTAACTAGTAACATCTTAAATTTTATCTAAGTAAAAAAGTTTACTTAGATATTATTACACTTTAGGTTAGATGGTAGCTTACTATTAGGATTAAAATACTTATTATGAAGTATTATAAAATAGATACTTTAGTTCTGTTGCTTTATTTATTGTCATCTGAAGAAATGTAGTATGGTTGACTAGTAGCAGCTATGTTGTGCCTTACATTTTTCACTATATTATTTTCTCTGAATTGCATTAGAGATCTATTTATTTTATTATTTTATGTTATTGTTTTATGTTAATTATTTCCTTTTAGTATTTATTTCCTTTTAGTATTATTTCATTTTATACCCATCTATATTCTTTTAACAAATAATTTAAGGTGGTGAACATATTTATTATTTATTAATTACATTTTTATGTAGCACATCTCCCCTGTAAGGTGATCCAACCATACCTTCCTCCTATTTTCCTCACAATAGCAATGCTGTGATTGAGCAGGCTGAAAGAGTGACTGACTCAAAGTTACCCAGGTGGCTTTTGTAGAATGGGTGTGCATTCTTAGTTCAAGAATTCAAATTCTGTAGCTGAATAATTGCTTACAGGATTCTATAGTCCTACAATGAGATAGGCGGTAAATAACTTTAACAAATAAATAAATAGATTGAGCATATTCTTTTCTGTAGAATTCTAGAGTGCCTACAAATGAGAAGTTCCTAAGGAAGAATCTTGCTAACAAATTAGTTAGAAATAGACCGTTGTACTTACCTGAACTGTCGTTTTTGGTGTGCTGCATGATAATCCAAAGGAATGGGTTAATTTCGATCTGCTTGCCTAAAGACTGAATTGAAGAAACTTGGCCACACCTCCCTTTTCACTTGGCTAGTCAGTTTTTTCAATGGAAGGCATGGCCGTTTCGAGAGATGAAAGCACATGAAATGCCCTCCTAACCTCAAAACCTACTGCCCACAATGACCCTGGGCCTAATTGCGAATGGGCGGGGTTGGATTCTCACGCAGTGCACCGAGAACGACCATTCAGGTAAGTACAACGGTCTTTCTCCAGTGTGCTGCTTAGAGAATCCAAAGGAATGGGATATGCCTAAGCATACTGACCTAAGGGTGGGTAGTTGACTGGTCCAGGGAGCCAGAGTCCAAGTGAACTGCCTGCAATACCCAACGTCTGAAGGCAGCTTCGGCTGAAGCATAAATATCCAATTTATAATGTTTAATGAAGGGCGACGGAGATGACCATGTCGCTGCCCTACAAATCTCCTCAACCAAGGCTTGTGTGGCCCAGGCTGTGGTGGTGGCTGCGCTCTGCATCAAGTGGGCTGTGATGTGACAAGGTGGTGGGTGGCCCTACAACTCTTATGCCTTGGCGATATAGGCCTTCAACCACCTTCCAATAGTGGTGGGTGGCACTTTCTGTCACATGGAATCGGGAAGGAACGCAACAAAGAGGGCGTCCGACTGCCAGAAGAATGCTGTACGCTTGATGTAGCGTCAAAGGGTCCGTAGCACGTCGAGGTGATGCCATTTCCATTCGTGAGGGTGCGTCGGTCGGGGACAAAAGTCAGGCAATACCAACTCCTGGGCCCTATGAAACCAGGAGTTGACCTTCATAAGAAAGGAAGGGTCAAGCTAGAGGATCACCTGTTAGGATGGAAAATACAGAGGTCACTGTGGACTGACAGGGCAGCCAATTCCGAGACCCTCCGAGCCGAGGTGATGGCCACAAGGAAAGGCCACCTACAAAGTCAGTAGACGAAGGCTGATGGAGCAGATAGGTTCAAACGGTGCTGATGTCAAGGCTTTAAGTACTATGGGAAGCTCCCACGACAGGTAACGATGGCCCGTCGGAGGTCTGAGGTTGGCAGCACCCCTCAGGAAGGCATGAACCCTGGGATGGTGTGCCAAGGAACGGCCCGTGCCTCCGTGAAGAACCGTCTGTCTTTGCAAGGTGTTTGGGGCCAGTCCCTTATCCAGGCCATCCTGGAGGAATTCCAGGACTTGAGGGAGCAAAGCCGATCTCTAACCCTCCGCCCTGGGTGTCTGGAATCTGCTGAAGAATCGAGGCAGGTGTGTGTTGGTTAGACTCAGCCAATCCGTCAGCACATTTGTTGAGCTAGAGATGTGATCCGCCCTGACGGAGAGAAGTGAGATTTCACCCACAAGCAGAGTGCCTGTGCCTCCAGAATCAGCCTCTTGGAATGCGTGCCCCTGGTGGTTGATGTGTGCTTTGGTGGCCACGTTGTCCGTGAGGATCAACACGTGCCGCCCCACCACCAGGTCTCTGAACTCCCAAAGGGCCAGATGAATGGCCCGAAGTTCCAACTAATTGATATTGTTCGTCAGGTCCTGGGGGCTCCAGCGTCCCTGGGCCCCTTGCGATTGAGTGTGAGCACTCCAACCGTATAAGCTGGCATTGGTCATGATCATGAACCGATCCAGCTCTCTGAACAGACAACCTTTTAGGAAGGCAGAGGAGGTTCACCAGTAGAGAGAGCAGGTCACTTTGGAGGACAGTCACACTATAATGTCCAGGATGCTCCTGTGTCTCCTTTGGTGCGGAAGGAGGAAGTATTGAAGATGGTGTGTGTGAAGCCGGGGCCAGGGAACAATCCCAATGCAAGAGATCAGCTTCCCGAGCAATGTGTAAAGGATGGACAGGTGCACTGATCTCTGGGCCAGCACCTGGTTCACCAGGGCTCGAATGCTGGTGCAACGGTCGGGTGACAGGGACACCTGACATTGAACAGTGTCTATTACGGTCCTGAGATGTAGCAGTGATGTTGTTGCTGGGGCTGCTGCTGTTGCCTGCCCCTGTCCCTAAATCTGGACATATCCTGGGCTCGATCTGATCCCTAGTAGTAGGATCTGTGATACTGGGGCCCAGTGGACCCCAAATCCCCCTGGAAGGGCTGCCGGTGGGAGCTATGGTTGGGACCTAGGGTCCACTCGCCTTTGTACAGAGGGGAGCACTTTCTTTTTATCTCTATTCTCAATGAGAATGGGGTCTAGGGCCTCCCCAAAACGTTTTCCTCTTTTAAACGGGGCTGCACAAGGCGCCACTTGGAGCCCATGTCCACTTGCCAATGGCAGAGGCAGAGGAGGCAGTGGGATATGATATTAGTAGCCAATGTCCTAGAGGTGAATTTAGCCACTGCTAAGGTGGCATCAGCGGAAAATTCCAAAGCCGCCACCAACTTATTGACATCTTGGTGGAGGCGCATGTCCTCAGGTGCTAGCTTGGACTGCAATTGTCTGAGCCACACCAGGGAAGTCCTGTTGAAAAAGGATGCGGCAGTAGCCACACGAATCACCCAGGCAGCTGTCTGGTGCAACTTGTGGAAGGTTTGTTCCTCCTTACAGTCCTCTGCCTTCAGCCCCTCAGATGCATCTGAAGGGACAATGGCGGGAGAGGTCAAAGCGGCTACTGGCGGATCAACAGTTGGCATTTGGAGGAGCCCCTCCAGGTCCGGGCCCAAACAGCCGCTTGTCATTATTGCTCGGTGGGGGAACCGCAGCTGGCAGAGACCACTGTCTCTGGATGACATCCAGAAAAGGTTTGGGTGATAGAATAACCTATTGCTCCAGAACCGGTTCTGAAAACAAGTGCTCAGTGGAATCTAGACCCAGCGAAGGTTCCACTGGGGTACCCTTGCTGCCCATATTGGCTGTGGTCTTTGCCTTAAAGAGCAAGGATTTAAACAGTGTAGGCCAGAAAAGGCCTCTGGGAATGGGCACCCTCATCATCCGACAACTCCAAGTCGCGTTGCTCCTTATCACCCAGGAGCGAGTCCTTTCTGTGGGTAGAGTGCACCGGAGAAGGATGGTCCCTTGCAGGATCCGGGGAGGGCCTAGAAGGTGCCCTTGAATGTTTGGGTCTCCTGTGGAGTTTAGAATCAACCCCCTGTGAGATGGCAGCTGAGATAAGATCCCTGAAATCTCTAGGGAGGTTCAGGACTTGGTTGTCCACCTCTCAGAAATCTCTAGGGAGGTTCAGGATTTGGTTGTCCACCTCCACCTGCTGTGGGGGTAAATGTGACCTCGGGTGGGAACGCCTGGTTTCCGGTGTTGAATGCTTGGCCTGGGAGGCCTGCGCAACGCTGAGGCCCAATGCTACTCTGGAGCTCAATTGGCACCAAAACCAACGGCCCGCCAATTCCAGGGTATCCAATCACCACTCAGCAGCTCTTGCCGCAGCCCGCGCCCGCAAAATTCAAAGCGCAATTCAAAATGGTGGCTCTGAGCGCCTCAGACAGAGAAGCAGGCAGTGTCAGAAAGATGGCGAACCAAACCTCCAAGCACAGCAAGAGGGGCTTGAGAATGGCGCACGGAACTCATGACTCTCGGAACCACGCGGCTATCAGTTACGGGCTAGCCTGAGTAATCAGGTAGAAGTGCCCACCGCACACGCATTCCCCTGAATGGGGAAACCCTGGTGACAGTTCTTGCTGGCGGACCGGGAAAACCAGCGCGCCCACTGAAATTGTACTACTGAAACAACAATAACAAAAGAAATGCAGTACCTGTGCTTGCAAAGAAAATCCAAAGGAATAGACTATAAAGGTATAGGAGAAAATGTAAATACGCCTCTTCAGGCAGACTGAATTGAAAAAACTGACCGGCCGAATGAAAAGAGAGGCCTGGCCAAGTTTTTTCAATTCAGTCTCTAGGCAAGCAGAAATTAACCCATTCCTTTGGATTCTCTAAGCAGCGCACTGGAGAACTTCATTTCTTCTTCCCTGATGTATCTTATGCTGCCTCCAAATTTGCTCTGATGAGTTGGAGAACCATCTTGAGTGATGGAAATGCTGGTACTGGGGATTGGAAAGGAGAAGGGAGAATAGCAGATATCACCTATCCTCTTTGTAGAGCTGTGAACTATTCCAAATGGTATCCTGTTTTCTCAAGATATAGGCAAGTGACAGTCAAGTCTCTGAGTTCAAAAGTTAGTTTTTGCTTTCTCTCTCTCTCTCTCTGCAGCTACTCAGACATTTTACTGCAAACCTCTTGGAGGACTTTACTGCCTGCCATACTTAGTGGATCAGTTATATGAGAGTTCTGGAATGTTGAGCCGGGCTGAATGGTGGGAACTACTTTTTTTCATTAAAAAGCTAGAGCAACATGAACAACAGGAAATTATTCGGTTCATTCAGGAGAATCATGAGGAACAGGTAAATGGAACAAATTTTCCTTGGGAGGAAGGGAACATAACAAAACAGGCGTCTGACTAGAAAAAAACAGCCATGGTGGCACGGTGAGTTAGAATGCAGTAGTGAACTGCAGGATAACTCACTCACTGCTCACTCCAGGAGTTCGATTCTGAGTGGCTCAAAGTTGTCTCAGCCTTCCATCCTTCCGAGATCGGTAAAATGAGGACCCAGATTGTTGAGGGAAATATGCTGACTCTGTAAACTGCTTAAGAAGACTGTAAAGCACTGTGAAGCAGTATATAAGTCTAAGTGCTATTGCTATCTGAGTAGGAAAAATGCAATGGCACCTCCAGCATTCCTGCTTTTTAGGAATTAAGAAATGTGAATTGGCAGCCAGGAAGAGCAGCTCCTGTGTTCTTTTCCTAATAAAGGCATAAACAACCAGTGACTGGTTTGTCCCACCCCTTCCCCATATCATTTAGAATTGTACTATTGAAAGTTAGAATCAGACTAACCACATTCCCATGGTGCAGTTTTGCAGATTAAGAATCAGAATGCACTATTTTACAAGGGATTGGCCTAAAGTGTAAGAATGGTAATGCTTTACCATCTTATCACTACCATTTCCTGCCACCACCATTCTAATTAATGAATGTTAAAAACAGTCTGAAAAGATTTTTCAATATTCTTTCCAGTGATTCTTATACATTGGATCCCATGGTTCTACATAGAGTCAAGAAGCTTAAATACAGCCTCCAACTGCCCAAAATGTGCCCTTTCCTGCCCTAGTATATGAAAGGTCCATTGGACAAACAGGCTCTTTTATCCTCTTACAGCTATGATTGGATGTGAGAAGCACTATGTATATAGACTTCTGATTACTGAATTGTCTTTTGCATTTTAAGCTGTCGGAACTAGATGAGGAGGGCCTGATTCAGCTGTCAATATCAGTAGAATTGGCTCGGAAACTCTTGCCGCTTTTGAGCAAGTACTGTCAAGGCTGCACCCAAAATGACCTCCAGAATTCCCACATTTATCTCAAATACACCTTCAGCAAGGGAAGTTCAGAAGAAGGTTGCCAAAATATGGACATAACCTCTGCAAAAGATAGTGGCTTTTCTGAAGCCATGGCTTCCCAAAAACCAAAGGAGTCCATTTCTGCTGAAATGTCTTCTCCAGTGCTGTCCACAACAGAGAAGACTGATACACAGTTATTTAATAAACTTCTTCACGTAGAAGGACTTTACTCTCCAGAAATACCAGATGAAAAAGCCAAAGGTAAATGCCAAAAAGATATGTATTTAAGCTCATTTATGTCAAATAATTGCAGGGAAAAGAGGGAGGGTGGAGTTGAAGAAAACCAGAGACTAATTTAGTGCATGTATAGCTGTTGTGGAAAATAAAGAATAAAAGTTTAACAAAAAATTCATGATTGGGTAGTTGCTAAGAGTCTATTTTACTGATCTGTCCTTTGTTATTGATCAGCTTACTTCAGTGGGAAAGTGTCAGGAAAGAGGAACTCCCTGGAGAAGCTTGCAGATATTGTAGACATAATACAGAAATCTAGTTCTGAGGTTGCACTACAGGTGGCTGGACTCAGATTCATAATCAAGATCTTAGAAGATGAACCTGGTCAAGAAAGACAAATTATTAAAGTAGAAAGTGGACCCTCAATCAGGTCAGTTTTCTTCCTTCAATATGCAATAGTTATAGTAGGCCCGCATTTCAATTATAAAGTGTCTTTAGTATCTGTAGTTTTAACGCAGTCATTCTACTTCTGTGTGTGGGTCTTCGTAGTTTGTGATTTTCTCCAGTTCTTTTTCTTCTATTGTTTCCAAGTATATCCACTTCCACTATCCAGATCATTTTGTCTTTCTTATCAACAGTTGTTCCCATGTTTCCCCGAAAATAAGACAGGGTCTAATTTTCTTTTGACCCTCAAAATATTGATTGGGTCTTATTATCGGGGGGCTTATTGTTTTGGGGTTGCCGGGTGGCTGCTCTCTGTGAGCGGGCGCCCGAAGAGCCAGGCACAGTCTCAGGGGCAAACGGCTGTGTTGCGTTGTCGCAGCAGCACAACATACCAGCCATGAAGTGACCACGCTCATGAGCAGCCACCCAGCAACCCAGCCGAGCAGAGCGCCACTCATGGACCCAGTGATATCCCAAAGGCGCTAAGCCGCGTGGTGCTCTGCCCTTCCCCCAGCTCCCGCGGCTTAGGTCAGTGCATGGTGCTCTTCCTGGCTGGAAAGGGAAGTTGCGCAAGCGCTTGTTCCGTCCCCAGCTGGTGGGCCTCCCAACCTCACCATGCCCTGGCCCAGCTCTCCCTGCAGGGCCAGTGTGCTGCCGCCGCGCTCCGACCATAACCTATTCTGCAGCTTCCAAACTCCGGAGATCCTCAGCTGAGTCTTTCGGCAGTAGCCGCTCTGGGGATATGCTCTATGGTTTTGGGCTGGCTGAGGCAGAGCGTACTCCCAGAGCATACAACCATAGAGTGTATTCCCAGAGTGGCAACTTTCGGAAGACACAGCATCTTACCTCTGTACTTTGGAAGCTGCAGAAAAACTATGCGGCAGCAGCAGCTGCAGCGGAGATGCCCTGGCTCTGCAGGCAGAGTTAGGCAAGGGCATCGTGAGGCTGGGAGGTGCGCGAGCAGGGAGCGGAAAAGCCGCTCGTGCAACCACCCCTCTCCAGCCATGCAGAACCCCATTCACTGACTAGGGGCATTCTGAAGGCGCCAAGCCATGGGAGCCGGAGGACAGTGAACAGGTGCTCACGCGGCTTGGCGATACCCCTAGGTCAGTGAATGGCGCTGTGCCTGGCTGGAAAGGGGGGTTGCTGGGTGGCTGCTCGTGAGTGTGGTCACCTCATGGCGGCTGTGTAGTGCTGCTGCAACAGAGCAACACAGCCGTTCGACCCTGAGGCTGTGCCCGGGTTTCGGGAGCCCACTCGCAAGAGAGCAACTGCCCGGCAAACCCCCTCTCCAGTTGGGCACAGCACTGCTCACTGACCTAGTGGTATCCTGAAGGCACCAAGCAACGTGAGACTATGCCCCCCCCCCGTTGCGGCTTGGTGCCTTCGGGATACCGCTAGGTCAGTGAGTGGTGCTCTGCCTGGCTGGAGGGGGGGGGCGTCCAGAGGGCTTATTTTCAGGGGAGGGCTTACATTTTTGCCCACCCAAAAAATGTGGCATGGCCTTATTATCAGGACATGTTGTATTTTTGGGGAAACACAGTAGTCTGGAGTCACTCCTTGTCAGTTGTATATATAGTTGCATATTTCTGTTTCTTTCACAGAAACATATATCTTTGGACATAGTCTTCTGAGTTTGCAATGGCCTTCTCTTTCTTGAGCTCCACTCCAGCTTTCCTGGTTTGATTTTTATCTGGTCGTCTAGTAATTTTATTTTTCTTAGGAAAAACTAGAGGTAGCACCTGAGAATTTATTTGCTCAGACCCTTATAAAGACACAACCATAAATTTAAAAGCTTTTTTATGCTCCTCAGAGAGAAGATGGTGAAGATGCTGGTGGAGCTGCTCAGCAACCAGCTGAAGGAGAAATTGTTGATGGTGACAGCATTAAGACTGCTTTATGTGTTAATGGCAAAGTATGATTGGCGAATCCTTTTTGCTACAGAAGGTGGGGTACGTGCTGTGCTGGGCTGTATGCAGGAATATTCCCCTTCTGCATTGGTACAGCAGGCTGGCTTGGCAGTAAGTTGAATATATTAATGACATAAATTGATGGTGGGAATTTGATGTATGTGTGTCTCTGTTTGTTTTAGAAGAATTTTCCATTAACTCTTAATGGAAATAAAGTATATATTAAACAATAATTAATACATTAAAATACCAGAGCAAATAAATATGCTTAGAAATTAGAACTATGGAAGAATGTTTCTCAGAAAAATTCTTAACATTTATCATTTTTAATATGTTCTGAAAATAATATAATAAGTCTTAATACCACATAAATGTAACTCTCAGCATGAAATTCAGTTTGAATTTAACAAATTAATTGTGCAGATAAAATTAATGCAAAGTATATATTTTTTTAAAAAATGTGAAGAGAAAAGAGAAATAAATAAATCAATTCCTTCTTTATCTCAGCAAGCATAAACAACTTTAAACAACTTTAGCAATTTGTCACCATCTCTTAAAATACAGCAACCTCTTCCATCTCATACCTCACCACATTCTCTTAAACAAATCTTTAAAATCTCATGCTCTATCTTAATCAACAAGAGTCCATTAAGGGTTACCAGAAATATCAGCCTATCTAGTATATGCTTGATTTAATAAACCCACCTGAATTCCATCCTTGTGTGTCCATTGTTAACAAATATCTACCGTTGATAAAAGATTTTGCTCCATTCTGCATTATCAGATTGATACTAATAAAGGAGAATATTTGTATCTCAGGGTTGAAATGAGGGGTCCTTCTCTGAGCTTGGTGGTTTTCTTGCAGTAGTTACCTAGTTTGAGTAATGAAACGTCAGCAAAAAAACCACCAAGCTCGGAGAACATGAAGGACCCCACATTATCAGACTGAGCTTTAGGAAAGAATACTTTAATTCCCTTTAATTATAATACTTATTTCCTTCTACTGCTCTCTAGTCTCCAATCTTCAAAATCCCACTTTATCTACTTGTTTTTCTTCTGGATGTAAAAACATGGATAGTTTTCTATGGGAAGGATTTTTATATTTAATTTCAGAATGTTGTTAAACTTAAAACTTCTTTTCTGAAAGATAGAAGGACATTGACTCAGTGATTAAGAAATGAAGATCAGCGGAATCATCTTCCCTTAAAGGCTACATTATTAGCTTTGTGGAAATCCTTGACTTCTCGTCATTCAACTCACAAGCACAACAATGTCAAGTCCTCCCAGCTACGAGGAGCCACTGTCCAGAATATGTCTGGGCGATCTCACAATCTCTCCTTTATCCTGAGAGATTTCCTGGGCCCAGATTCAGTGTCTAGCCAGCAATTTCAGCTTAATGTTGTCCTTGCTTTTTCAGAAATGTCTTCAGTTTACTATGTCCTCACCAAAAGTCCAAGTTGAACAAGATTTCAAACAGCTGAAGTATAAAGTGGGTGCTGATGAAATATTGTGACAAAGGGAATCAGTTACTTATTTCTGATCTTCGTTTTCTGCTTTTGGTTTTTCTAGGCATTGAAAGTATTGGTGGGTGCTGGGAACTGTGAGCTACTTGGTACCAGTGGGAAATCATACCCTCTGAATCATTCAGATGCTCAGATGATGCGGGAAATTTTTGCCAGCATTGGTTCTGCTTCCAGCAAAGAATCTGACAATTTACTATGTGTAATTTGTATTGCTATTGAGAAGATGTTGGCTACACCTGGGTAAGATGAAAATGAAGTCTTGACTGAAATAAAGGAGCATATAACTAAGTTCAAGGAATTAATAATTAAAGATAAAGAATGAATGTTGAGAATTCACTTTTTTTTCTTTTGTAGGGAGAATTCGGTTGATGCCTCATTTTGATAAGTTTTCTGTTCTGTACCTTTAAATCGGAGGCAATCTGACAGACTTATTAATAGGATTACTATTATTTCAAAACATGTAATCATTTCTTGAACTGAATAGGATTATTGATTGCTTAGTGTTGGAATATTACATATTCCAATATTTTTTCCTTCCACATCCTTCAGCATTGCTTCAGTTGTTTATGCCAACCATTCCTCTTTTCCTCAGAGCCTCGTCAGCAGTGCAGAATGGGCTGTTGGTATTAAACATGCTGATCAACAATCATAAGGGCCTGGCAGAACAGTTGGGAAGCTGTGACCTCCGTTCGGTCCTGCAGAGTTGTTGTCAAACAGGCCAGAGCTCCAGTGAGATGCTAGCTCGAATAGTGCTCAATCGTTTGGCTGAGCATAAATTGCCATTGAGCCAGGAGAATGCAGGTAGAGATTGCTTTTAAGTTTCTAGTTGCTTATCTTTATCCTTTTGGCATTTTTCTCTCTAACTGTGTAATAGTTTGTTTTATTTCCATTAGGCTTTGCTTCATAGAGTGCTCTCTTTTGAGGATCTAATAAGGTCTTAACCTCTCCATTATGTTGGAAGGGATTGCCTAAGCACACAATCATCATTTTCTTATTCTTCTATATCAGCATGTCTTTCTGAATATCCATAGGCTTCCTTTTAACAGTAAATCACAGGAGATAGTTTTCACTTGCTGTGTTTTGAAACTTGGAAGGCCAGAGGTTAATTATCCCCATGGCTGCTTCCAGGGATCTTTTCCTGCTGGAGAAGGAGCCCTCCTGGAGAAGATGCCCTGCCCCTGTGGCCATTTATTGGGGAGATGATTAGCAGCATCTGTTTTTTTTCCTCCATAGCCTATTTCAGGGAATTACATTTTGACATAGGGAGATCTTCTCCTTCTCTCCCCTTTTCGATACAGAATCTGAAACTTCCTTTGAGTTCAAAGATATGGATGTACCAACCCTACTGAAAAACCTGCATGAAACCAGCTTTTCAAAAGATGTAGTGCTAGCACTGGAGCACTGCCTTTGTGACGAGGGTGTTTACCCTGAGAGAAATGTAACAGACATTTTGCCAGATCATGAGCATTTCTTGCTGCTGTTGAAGACCCTAGAACAGTTGGGAGCTGAAAAGACTGTCCAGATGGCCATGATGAGGTAGAATGAAGATGTATTTTACCATCATGGAATGTGGAAGATTTTTTTAGAGGAGTATTTGGATTCAGAGAAAGTCGGGTGGTTTGAGCAGTGGTGTCTTAAGGTGGAGCCACTCTCTCTTCTGGATAGGTTAGCACGGAAGGTCTGAAGTAGGTAATTTAAATAATGTAACTTGCTGACCTGCATCACCATAAGTCAATCTGTACAAGAAAATGGCTTGAGGCTTGTGTATATCATAAGCTTAGGAAATAGAACACTGCAGGAAATTGTTTGAAATGGGAATTATTTATTGTTATAAATTTTTGGACACTGCACTTTATAGAAAACTATCACTCTCAAAGAGGCTTAGAATTCTGGGAACTGCAATCCTAAAAAGGCACTGAAGTGGGTGAAATGCCTGCAGTCTTTTGAGCTGTATGTGAAAGAACTGAACCACAACACAGAAACAGCTTTGTGATCAAAATCATAAAAATGAATATTTGGCATCAGATAATACAGAAAATGTTTGTTGCTACACCTGTAGAGAATGTGCTTCATCCCAAATGGTGTTGGAACATTTTAAATTGATGAAAAAAATGTATTCTTTTTGCAAGAAAGTATTAATAATCATATCTATATACAAAAAAACCTGATATTTATCGTATATTTTAAATACAGTTATTAAAATAGTCCAGGCAGTCAGCTTAAGAACTAAAGACTGCTGTTGTTCTTAAATTGAAATTCGCTTTTATAACAAGTATCTTCTCTTTGCAGGATTTTGAATAAGTTTTTGGATATTTCCCAAGAGGATGCATTGCCCTGGCATGAGTGCATTGAGCCTTGTCTGTCCTCAATGAGTACCCACAATAGTGAACGAGAGGTAAGGAATTAATTGCAACATAAATTGAAAAGGAGTTTAATAAGAGGCATTTGAAGAAGGTATGAAAAATATTAGTGAGCAAGTTGACAAAATTGCAGCTTCTCGATTCAAGCCAGATGTAGTTGGCAAAAAGCATTTTTCATCTCTGCTGGTAAATATATATTATTAGTAAACAAAATTTGGATTGAAAATCAAATAGAATTGGGCCAAGAAACCGAAAGCATATGCAGGTAGTCCTTGACTTACAACCACAATTGAGCCCATAATTTCTGTTGCTAAGTGAGACATTTCTTAAGTGAATTTTATGGTGCCCCATTTTTATGAACTTTCTTGACAGAGTTAAGTGAATCCCTGCAGTGGTTAAATTAGTAACATGGTTGTTAAATAAGTCTGCCTTCCTCATTCACTTTGCTTGTCAAAAAGTGGGAAAAGATGGTCACATGATCCTGACACAGCAACCATCATAAATATGAGTCAGTTGCCAAGCATCTGAATTATGATCATGTGATGTTGCAATGGTTCTAAGTGTGAAAAATGGCCATGTCACTTTTTTCAGGGCCATTGTAACTTTGAACAGTCACTAAATGAACTACTGTATGTCAAGGACTACCTGTATGTATATTTGCAAGTGTAGAACCGGCATAGCTAAGTTCTTATCAGTCTAGATACTGATAAAGATTTCCCATAAGATTCATAAATAGGCATCATCTTTGTCATGAAAATTTGCTTACTTTTCCAACAGTAATAATCTCTTTCCAGTTTCTACTTGAAACACTTTCATAATGATCAAATTAACTGTTTTATCCTCAGAACTGCTCAAATTTGATACCCTTGGGAGAAACTAATTTTTAAGTAGCAGTTGATTACAGGCAAGAACTCCTCCCTATGCCTTTAAATAGGCTCTAACGTTAAATTCTTGTGGGCAAATAGAGTGTATGCCTGGAGTTTCTGTCTTTATAAGTGGCAAGAGAAAAAAAATAGAGATTTTACACTATATTTACTGATCGCATGTGATCCACAACTTGTTTGAAAAGAATTAAATTGTCATTGAGCTGAAATAGATCTCATACCCATGATGCATGGATTGATCAGGTGTTCCTGAAGACCCATTGAAGAAGAGTTGTAATCCCCTGGAAGATATGGTTGGTGATGAGGGATAAAAGGAAATACAGATGGAAAGAGGAACTTATTTGCCAAAAACTCTTTTTTCTGTACACTTTCTTGCTATTATGTTTCTGTCAACAGGTTGTGCAGGAGTTCATCCGTTTCCTGCATCGTTTAGCTACCACCAACAAAGATTGTGCGGTTGTGATGTGCCGTGTAGGCACAAAGGAAGCTCTGACCAAAGCTATGGACAAGCACAACTCCAACTTGTTATTGGTGACAGAGTTGCGGGACCTTGTGACTGACTGTGAGAAATATGCTAGCCTTTATAAGAAGATGACAACCAGTATCCTGGCTGGATGCATTCAGGTAACTTTGATCTTTCCTGTGTGTGTATTAGGTGGCTGGCCTAGGAACAGGTAAACAATGAGTATCAATAGAGTGGTCAGATAATCTGTAATAAATCAGAGCAAACAGTCAAGAGCTAAATTTGGTCAAAAACAAAAACTTCCTTAAAATTATGAGATTCTGTTCTCTCTTCTTGTATAGGAATAAGTAACTTTCTGACTCATGTGTGTGTGTGTGTGTGTGTGTGTGTGTGTGTGTGTATAGGATTCAGGGCTGTATACAAAGGATGCTAGGACAGAGAAGCTTAGTAAATTGTGTTCAGTTGAATAGCTTGCATTGTAGAATCAGTAGATTTAAAGAATAAAAGTTTTTCTTTAACTAAATCTTAAGCTTTATTGATAAATATATTCTGCTATCTACTTTGTTTATACAGATGGTTCTAGGACAGATAGAGGAACATAGACGAAGCCACCAACCTATTAATATTCCCTTTTTTGATGTTTTTTTGCGCAACCTTTGCCAAGGTAAATATTTGCATCCTTTGGAATTTAAAAATTGGAGGATTCATGTACAGATCTGCTGTAAAAGGAGTAATTCTCTCTCCCTCCCTCCCTCCCTCCCTCCCTCCCTAGGTTCTAATGTAGAGGTGAAGGAAGACAAGTGTTGGGAAAGGATAGAAGTTTCTTCTAATCCACATAGAGCCAATAAACTGATTGACAAAAATCCAAAGACTTATTGGGAATCTAATGGTAGCACAGGTTCCCATTACATCAATGTATATATGCATCGTGGAGTGGTAGTCAGGTAAGTCCCAATGGAGACAGTTAGCTAATTGACTTTGAGAGTTTCTAGGCAGCAGGGTAAGAGCAAGTTCTATGATTAAATGTGAATTAAGCAGATAGTTGATGAAACTCATGAAATTATGTGCAAACCTTTCAGTTATTGGGAATTGTTTATTAGGCAAAATGAATAAAGCAAAAGCAGGGAGGAGGGGTAGATAAGTCTGATTTGTGGTGAATTGTGAGATTAGCAGATTATGAAATAATTTCTCACAGTGACTTTTGAAATGAAAAAGCAAATTAAAAATCTCTCCCCCCCCTTTTTTTTTGCAAATAATTGTTTGCAAAAATGCAATATTATACATTTAACTGTAAAGTGTCCTAGAAAAAAATATTGCCATGATTGGTTACATTTAGGGGTTGGTTATGATTGCATATGTAGGTCTGTATGTCAGTGTGTATGTCTATGTAGTGAGTTCTTTGAGAGGAATATATTTGGGGCTATTTCATGAAACATTTTTAGTCACTCAGGCAGACTTTAGTGAGTATGCCAGGATTCATCTAAAGTCTGACACAAATACAAAGTTTTGTTTTTGCTGCAGGCAGATGACTTTAATAGTAGCTAGTGAGGATTCCAGCTACATGCCAGCTCGGATTGTCGTGATGGGAGGAGAGAACACATCTAGCATCACTAGTGAGCTCAATACTGTGAGTGCTTCTTTTTTTTTTCTCTAAAGCCGGTCTGCTTTTAGAAAGCTTCAGTAAGGAAGATTTTCTGCTATATTGCTAACATACAGTCAGGGTTCATAGACCTTCTACAAAAATATGCATTTGTTTGAGCTGTCCATCCTTGATTTGAGATTTCGTTGGAAACTTGCCATTTCTCAAATTATCTGTGCTTCATTCTCTGATACAGTTTAATTAATTTATTCTGTTGAGGCGCCACACAACTCCAAATGATTCTGGTGCGTCTCACAATATAACAAGAAAGATAAAACACTGTTGCAATCAAACAGAAAGCCAATTAAGCATTAATTAAAAATCAGATAAAGAACAAGATGGTGATTCTGGTCAAGAATAAAACTAATGATGGACTTTAACCACCCTAGCCTAAAGTCTGGGAAAAAAGACAGGTTCTTCAAGACCCCACAAAGGGCTTTCAGAGTAGGAGCCACTCAGATGAGAGGTGAAATTGCATTCGAGAGGGGAGAGGGAAAATGTGCCTCTTGGGTCATGAAAGATGACATCATTTAATTGAAGTGTTGTTGGTTTGTATCAGCCAGGTAGTCATCATGATAGGCAGAGGAGCCTTCAAATAACTAGGTCCTATAACAGGTAGGGCTTTATAGTTTTAACCAGCACCTTGAATTACACCTGGAAGCAGAGTAATAACCAGCCTTAATAGTTGTCACATGGACATACTAAAGCTCACCCATCCTTTCCTCCACTGCTCTATTCTGGACCAGTTGAAGCTTCCAAATTACCTTCAAGGGCTTCCCTCTGTAGAGTTCACTGCAATAATCATGCTATGAGTTGACTAAGCCATTAGTAATTATTTGAAGAGCCTTCCTATCCATGAAAGGGAACAGTTGGCACAGTAGATAGTAGTAAATTGTGCAAAGCTATCTTGGCCACAGATACCAACTTCTCAGGTGTGAGTTCAAGGGGATCCTCATATGGTATACCATCTTGAGTGGCAAAGTGAAGTGAGTGATCAAAATTGGGATGTTGAGGATCCCATTTTACAGCCACTCAGTCTTGGTAGAATTGATTTGAAGTTGTTTTTTCCCCAGTTCTGCCCACATAGTTTCCAGGCACAAGAACAGGATTTTGACAGTCTCATTCGGCTAGGCAGGGCTGATGAAATCAAAACCCAACTCGGTAGCATGTCTCACGTTGATGTTGAGTGGGAGGGGAGAAGGCACTCCACATATGGGGCCTAGCAAGTGACCTTTCTTCCTTGCCTTCCCCCCCCCCCGGGGGAGGGGGGAGACTGGATCCAGTCCCAAGAGAAGGAAAAGAACCACTCTGGAGCTAATCCAGAGAGATGCTGTGGTTGTCAGTATCAAATGCTGCTGAGAGATCAAGAAGTGCTACCTCCCTCCTGGCTTCACCTCAGTACAACCATTGCCTTCTCCTCATAAAATGCCAGAATGAAATGTGACTGAAATGAATCTAAAAAGTCCTTTTCTTCTAAGGTCCTCAGCAGTTGCAATCCCCAACCACTTTTTCAACACCATTCCCTAAAAGGAAGGTTGAAGATAGAACAATAGTTATCCAGGGCTGATGAGGTCTCTTGAGAATGAGGTATACCACCGCTTCTTTCAAGGATGGAGGAACTCCCCTCCTTCAAGAAGGCAGATACCATATCATGGAACCTCCCTGGCCACTTTGACACCCGACCAGGGATTTGTGTCTAACAATTATTGAGTGAGCTTACAGTGTAGAGATCCCTAACTTGCCTTAGCTACTTTTATTATTGTGTGTTTAGTAATTGTGAGGTAGAGGAGCAGAGACAACACAGAGCTTCCTTTTTATCATCTCTAATTGACTCGGAGTGTCTTTGAGTTATTGACTGCCACTTGGTTGGATCTGTCTCTTGTTCACCTATATTAGCTTACTTTCCTTTCGTTATCCAATGCAAAAAAGTATTCCTAAAGTCAATTATTCCCACAATAGCAGAGGATGTTGAAAGAGGCTGAATGCTGAATGAAGCAATTCAAGATCCAGAGAAACTGCTTGCAGCTAGTCCTCGACTTATGAGGACTAAAATTTGCAGGTAGTCCTCAACTTATGAGGACTAAAATTTCTGCTATTAAGTGAATTTTGTCCCATTTTATGACTTTCCTTGCCACGCTTGTTAAGTGAATCACTACAGTTGTTAAATTAGTTAACATGGTTGTTAAGTGAATCTGGGTTCCCCATTGACTTTGCTTGTCAGAAGCTTGCCAAAGGCAGGGGTGTCAAACTCAATTTCATTGAGGGCCGCATTAGGGTTGTTTTTTACTTCAGGGGGCTGGAGTGGGTATGGCCAGATTAATGTCACTCATGTTGGGGGCGCCTGTGGTGGTTCGAGTGCACTGCCAGAGAAAACAGCCTCCTGTAACCGTCTGCCAACAAAAATGGAGCTCAGGCGGACCGCCATGTTTGGCTGTGACAGTCTCCTACAACACTCTGCCAGCAAAAACAGAGTTTGCTGCCCTCCCGAGCTCCATTTTTACTGTCAGAAGCCTTGCAGGCCAGTCCGTTTCTGTTTCCAAGGCAGCCCTGCGGGCCAGATCTAAGCATCCCGAGGGCCAGATCCAGTCCCCGGGCCTTGAGTTTGACACCCTTGGCCAAAGGTAATCACATGGCCCTGGGACAAGTGTCAGAATTTTGATACATGACCACAAGGATATTGCAGCAGTTCTGAGTGAAAAATGGTTATAAGACATAAGGCACCATTGTAATTTCTAACAGTGACAAAATGAATGGTTGTAAGTCAAGGACAACCTGTACTTAATTTTAGGGAGTAGCACTATTGTATATTGTATACTATATATTGTGTGAAAACATTTGTCTGGTTTCCTATTGCTATATTGCCCAGCAGTGACACTTATCTTAGGTGTAGAATTGTTTCTCTTCAACTGCTATTTAACTAATGAATCAGAGTGACAGATGATGAAACTTCAGAAGCAAATATTGTTACTTAACCACTGAGATGTATATGTGCATGGTTGAAGCTAAAGCTTATTAATGTGAAAGTACATTTGGATTTTGTACATATATACTTAATGTTTGCATTGGTTGACTGTCAGATAAATGTGGCAACCGAAGTGTAATTTCTTAGACATCTAATCATTTCTATCAGCTTTTTTTCTACTGCCTCACTGCTGAAAATATATTCTTGTAGTTTATAACTAATTTTTTTCTGGAACTTGACATCTGTTAAAAATAGAAATAACCAACAGTTTCTCCAAGTAAGAAGATCCCCCTCTCCATTATTCAATTAAATAAGGATGGAGTTGCATTATTGCCATGTTTTAAATGCCAACATGTAGCTCAACATGTAGTCCCAAACTTTTTATGGTGGTTTTATTGAAAGTTTCTGTGTGATTCTCAGTGTTAATGCTAGGGCTCAGAAGTTAGGGTTTACAAATATAACTGAAGGGATACTGGTGGTAGAGAAGATTTAATCATATGTGTTTTGTTCACATCTGTTTTTGTTCTATGCTACCTTCAGAAATAATTGAGAGAAATCTCCCAGTTCTTGACGAAAGGTATATTCTTCTGTTGATAATGGGTGATGTTCTTCCTGTCCTTAAAAACTTTAGTAGAATGGAGAAGGGCTCTTCGAGTTTGTATTTATAAACTTTTTCACTTCAGACTTAAAGGAGTGCCCTCTTCTCCTGCCCCACTAGATACATTTATGCTGTTCTTATAGGGTGAGCATTATAACCCCCTATATATTATTAATTACATTAATTCATTACATCTGAAAAAGGCAGGTTGCTTTCTCCATTTGCATTTCTTATCTTGGTGAAACTTTGGCTCTTTTTCTAACAGGTGAATGTCCTACCTACAGCCAATAGGGTAGTTCTTCTGGAGAATATGGGCCGCTTCTGGCCAATTATACAGATCAAAATTAAGCGCTGTCAACAGGTAAATCTGAATGTTGTTTCTTGAAACAAAGCAAAGACTAAAGAGCTGTGCTTAACCATCCTAATTGTTTTTGACCCATGGCTATAAACTGGTCAGCAAAATAGATCTTTTTTCGGATTAGGCTTTTCATATGTGTTTCATTTTCCAAACAGTAAGTTGACACCATATTTTTCGGAGTATAAGATGCACTGGAGTATAAGACGCACCAAGGTTTTGAAGAGGCAAATTTAAAAAAAAAAACTTTTTGCACTCTGCAAACCTCCCCAAAACGGCCCATTTTTCGCGAAAACAGGCCCGTTTTTTTTTTCAAAAAAAGAGCACGAATAGCCCTTAGGTGGCTTGTAGAGTGTTCCGGTGGGCAGCAAAATGAGCAAAAAACGGCCCATTTTTGCTCATTTCTGCCCTCCCCAGCGCCCAGGAAGTCTCTGAAAGCCTCCTACAAACTATGCATGGCCATTTTGGTGAAGGGGCAGGTTTTTGGGAGGCAAAAAAATGCTATATTCAGTGTATAAGACGCACCCAGATTTTCAGCCTCTTTTTTGAGGGAAAACGTGCATCTTATAATCCGAAAAATACGGTGTTTATCGTTTATATTTGGAAATGGTATAGAGAAAATAGGCTATGTGAATTATAACTGCATGTCTGAGAAGATATAAATTTTGCTATACGGTATGATGGATGACAAATTATTTTTAGCTTAATCACAATTTATGCTGCCTTTTTGTATGTAATTTTATTTTATTTGGGTTTTTTCCCCCTTCGAAATATTGACCTTCTGGCATTCCTTTATTGCACAGTTCATAGCTGCTTTCCTGCAAAAAAGGATTATAATAATTTTCTAATTGATAGAATACTGTTTTTATGTTGTTAGTAATATGAGTAATACGAGATGCATTGTTCAACTGTAAAAATTGAATGCTCTGCAAATGAAATAGAAATATCTCTGCATATTAGACAGGGAGTTACATGAAAAGTATTTCCCTATTGGAGAAAACTGTGTTATTTACAGGGTGGCATTGACACACGTGTGCGTGGCATTGAGGTGCTAGGTCCCAAGCCCACCTTCTGGCCCATCTTCAAAGAGCAGCTGTGCCGGCGTACATATCTCTTCTATACCACCAAGGCACACACATGGTGCCAGGAAATCTTAGAAGATCGAATGCAGCTGCTGCAACTTTTCAACAGGTCAGGCCTCTTCTGATATAATTCTTTTGTCCTTTTCCTCGGGGCTGTCCTAAGGATCAGGGTCTGCCCCAGAGCTGGCTTTTGCAAATCAAAGAAATGAGCACTGCTACTGGCCAACATTCTTAAGATACCCATGTTCCTGCTCGTTAATTTGTGTTGGTACTTCCAGTTAGATCAAAATAGGATTCTGAGTCACAGTAACAGAATCTTGTAAAGTCTGAATGCTCTTCCTTCCTTCCTTCCCCCCCCCTTCCCTTTATGTTTATGATTCTTTCTGAAGTTACATTTCTTCCCCAAACTTAGATTTTGTTTATCTGAATTTTGCCTTGGTTGCGGCTCCATGCATTTTTATGGTTCATTGTACAGTCAGCCAGTTGT